ATTTCTACAACTTCTTTTCAACGTAAACTACTGCAACATTTCGGGAAACCGTATTATTTAAAGTCTGAAAAGTTAATTTCTGGACTTTCAAGTCTTGTTTCGTCCACTCATTATTATAAAAACTTCGATTGTATTTTCCATCAATATCATGACTGTTATACCAGCCGGTTTTTAAATATTTTCAAGGCTCACGAGCTGTGTATTTTAAAAAAAGGTTAAACAAGACAATTGAAACAAGCATATAGAAAATTTGAAAATGTCTTTTGGATTGTCTATGCTCAAACGCTCGTGCGTGGTTTTAAGTTTATTTAAATCTTTCAAATTGTGCCTGGAGTTTGTATTTATAGTTGGAGTGTAAACTAAAACAATTAGATAACTCGGCCTCGTTGTCTATGGCGAACATAGATATCTTATATACACTAGATAGTACATCTAATTATTCTGCAATTCAAAAATCGAAGCCGTTATTGCAGTCTCAGGTCGTTCCCATGAAATGAGAAGATTCGTATGTTTTCTATTTCTTAAACAGGGAACTTAAACATTAAGTTAACCCTATTCCAAATACGTTTTTAAACTATTCAAGTTATTCTTGTTTTTAAGCGTTTATTAGCAAGTGGGAACGACCAACATTGCCGCCATCTATTCAAATGGGGGTAACCGCTGGAATATTCTTGACTTCAATTTTACTAAAAGAGATGCGCTATCTAGTGTATATAAGATATCTATGATGGCTTCGTTGACTGTTCGCTGATAGACAACTCGGCCTCGTTGTGTAATTGTTAAATAAACAATTTTCACACATAGTTCTACATACCAAGCTTGGATGACGCTTGAGTTGCTCGACAACAGATTTTCGACTGTAATATCCATGCTAAAATATTGTTAGTGATAAAATAAGCTTTGTATGATTGTAGGCATGTACGGAAGAGGCCAACTTCCATTTATTGTCTTTCAATCAGTAGGGTGAAGCCGTGAAGGTTGGTGTTAGGAATGAGATATTCTCGTGTTTACATAACAAGTTATTAAAATACAAGATGCCATCCCTGGGTGAAGGCTGGTGTTAGGAATGAGATATTCTCGTGATTTACATGCAGTGTTATATATACTGTAAAATTACTTAAGGTGGCTCCCTACACTTTTTAAATTAAAGATTTTCAGACTTGCATATTATTTTCTGGACAATTATTACTTGTTTAAAAACGAAGAGTATCTGACTGGCATAACACAATAACTAAAGAGTTCGGAATTTTTGTGTGTGACGCCATGTTGTGACGTCATTGTTGCCATAGCAACGGCATTTAGGAATATTTTTTAAAAATTTTGAACTCCTTAGTTATTGTGTTATACCAGTCAGACACTCTTTGTTTTTAAACAAATAATAATTCTCCAGAAAATCATATTCAAATCAAAAAATCTTTAATTTTTAAAAAAGTGTGGCGAGCCACCTTAATATAAAATGAAGCTATTACATGGTAAGGTTTTTCATTTATGTCAATGGCAAAACATCTGGTGCATGACATGAAGAAGGAAAATTATAATAAATGTAGTCACTACACACGTGTCTTTCGTTGTGAAGACGTTGTTTCGTCTAAACGTGGTGGGAAATTATTGGAGTAACTTTTTGTGATTGTATTCAATATGGTTGGCAATAAGTTTGCAATATAAAGCATGAGTTTGAGATCTCTGTATAGCATTTATTGATTTTACCAGTGCCTCCACTTCTATGGGAATTTCCATATTTTATGGAATTTTTGAAGTGAAATGGAACTGGAAAAATAATGAAATTCTATGGAAATTTCAGTATTCGAAAATATTGTAAATTGTACTAAAATATGTGTTAAAAGTCCAGTTAATAATGACTTTATTTAAATTGGAAAAAAAGACCGATCAGCATATTTACAAGAAATAGCTGGTATTAACCGGTGACCAGTTAATCCAATTTTCGATGAAAAGTTACTAGTGCTTCCTAGATCTGTCTACATTTGTGCTCTACATGTTCTATCAATCTTTCTGTGCCAGAGTTGGCTGGTACCAATAATATAAACAAGCTTTCGTTTGTAGGGATGCTGGATGCAACTACCTGAAAAATATAAGCCGGCCTTAAAATATCTTTTCCAGGGCCGTCTGACAAAATGTCCGATGACTTTGAGTTTGGGTCGGACATATGTCCGATCACTTCAGTTCAGTTTGGGTCGGAAATTAATATCAGCATAATGTATTCATTCTGAACTAAATGTTGTGAAGATATTAAATCATTTGTGTCATTCATACTTATTTCCAAGCCAAAATTAACTTGCTTTCCAATGATAGCAGTACGACTTCGATAACTTAAGCCCGTTTTCCACCTCACCATTTCACTCGCCGCCCCGCAACATTTTCGGTTCATTTTTATACAAACTCTGGTCCTGGACTAGGGTACATTTTGATTTACGTGCGTGGAGAAAGCGTCAGAGAAAGCTACAGTTCGGTCGGACACCAATACACTCGGGTCGGACAAACAATAAACCTCAGTGTCACTTAGGCCGGACAGAATGTCCGGTGGTTTCCTCTCTACGTCGGACAATTTGATGAATGGGTCGGACAATGTCCGTGACCTCCATAAAGAGTTATTCTATCAATCTCATCCTTTCTTATCGCAAGTTTAAAATTTGCCCCTGGAACATGCGTGGCATAAAGTGTGATATTTTGGGATTCATAACTTATGGAATTTTTGTTAAATATTTGGAAATTCTAGGTGTCATATATGGATGTTGAAAATTTTAATGTGGAAGCACTGGATTTTACTCTGTAAATCCGTGATATGTGGTATGGGCCATCAAAGCCCAACAAAAATTGATCAAACAATGTTCGAAGCAATGTTTGAAGCATATATATAGGTCCCCGTTTGAAGCTTTCACGTTAAATGTTTAATTGGCATTCACACTATATAGAAATCATTCACCTCTAATTATTGTGGTGTCATTTGGTGATACACGCATGCGCAGTAAAACCTGTTTTCGGTGTGGAATTTCTAAATTTTGTACGTTCACTAAGAGTGTTTAAACCTAAATAAAACTAAGATGATGGCGACCTGGCTTTAAACCAAGGGGCATATCACTCTGAAAATCTTCGTAGACTTCGTCAAAAATAAAAAAAATCTGACTCAGTTAAAACCCCAAAATTATCAACTTAATTCATGCTTATCAACCTGCTTACCATCCATTTCTTAAACCAAGAAGCCTTGGGATCCAAGATAGCCAAATAATGCAGTGGAGATATAATGGCATTGAACGAAGAAAGACCAAAATGGCTGTTTCCTAAGCTCAACAGTGCTAATGAGCTTTCCAGAATATCTTCGACAAATCTAGAAGAAAAGCAGTTTCAGACAACTGGGTCAATGGCAATCGAAATTTTCTTTTGTCTTACAAGCACTCAGATGGAACTAAACAGAATTTTTTTGAATTTGAACAATAGAAATTTCGGTTCGATCGAAACATTTCGCCTAGTGGAAAACCGCCTTAACTCCTTAAGATACGAAAAATGTCCAAAATTACGAAAATAGTGCGATTTCATAAAATGCAGCATACAAGTGGATAAGTCTCGTGGATCATGAAACCGTAAGGAAATATGTGCGGGAATTTTGATGCTGAAAGGGAAAAATTTTATTAAATATCTATCTTTAATATTTTTGTACAAGTGAATATAACAAATCATACAAGTTGATTGGTCAAATTCGACGTATTTTAATACGTCAAATTTGGACGGCTTAAAAGCTGTTATATTCAACTACAAGTGAATATAACAAAAGAACAAAACCGAAATTTGCAAATTGGTGGCAAGCCGTTTTGTGGAAGTTACTGATAAAGAAATAAGCGGAATTAAAATAAATTCAGTCCCAAAAAACACAAAAGACTTGTGTAAAAATACTAAAACAATTATTCGCCTCAGGCTCGGTGATTATCGGGAAATATTCACCTTGACTTCTTCTCGGTGAATATTTCCCGACAATCACCTTGCCTTCGGCCTACTCTGAAGATGTTGCAATAATTGTACAATATGTATGTAGTGTTGTACTCCTTCCATTACTTCTTATTTGCAACCTCGTACTGAGGACAGAAGGAGAGACCCTGGGAACGAGGTTGCCTTATTTGTTGGCTTATATAATACGCTGTGGTTACAACAAATGCAAAACATCAAAACCTTAAACATTTAAATACAAATTCATAATTCATTGACATTGTCTTAGAAAATAGTGGGGTTACTTACCTTTCAGGATATCTAACCCAGTATGATGGAATTTCATGCAGGAATTCACAAAGTAGCCGAAACTATAAAATAAATTATTTAGATAAAATAATATTTGAGTCATTCTAAATACAGGGTGTATAAAAAAAACTGAACAGATTTGAAATTGCTCTCCTTCTTTGGGTACTTATAATGTAGAATGAAAAAAATTTCTCGAACTCAAATTTTGTGAACCAGGGGGGGGAGTGTCTTTTTCAACAAACTAAAAATGACTTGTGCACAAAATTTAAAAGCTTTAATCATATTTTGAGTTAATAGATGGAAATATGTTAGGTTTTTAATTACTGTACAAAATTTCAGACAATTTGCTTTATTTTGTTGCTCTATTGCTCTTTTCAGACAATTTTTCAGACAAAATCAGTTTTTCGCATGCTTAATTAATGCATTTACCTAATTTGCATATTGCCGACTAATGCAAGTTATATTTCTGTGTTGGTGTTGTGTACTCAGGTGAATAATATGCTTGCGATGTTACTCTGAGTGCATATCCACACCGGGCGAGCTTGAAAAATATGCCCGGCCACGGTGGGATTCGAACCTACGACCTTTGGAATACTAGCCCAATGCTCTTCCAGCTGAGCTACGCGGTCAGGACGGTTCGAGTAAGTAATATTTCGGAACAGTATCTAGTTCCTTCAATACCAATGTGTTCTAGTAATATGAATTTTATTTCTGTGTTGGTGTTGTGTACTCAGGTGAATAATATGCTTGCGATGTTACTCTGAGTGCATATCCACACCGGGCGAGCTTGAAAAATATGCCCGGCCACGGTGGGATTCGAACCTACGACCTTTGGAATACTAGCCCAATGCTCAGAGTAATATCGCAAGCATATTATTCACCTGAGTACACAACACCAACACAGAAATAAAATTCATATTACTAGAACACAGTGGTATTGAAGGAACTAGATACTGTTCCGAAATATCACTTACTCGAACCGTCCTGACCGCGTAGCTCAGTTGGAAGAGCATTGGGCTAGTATTCCAAAGGTCGTAGGTTCGAATCCCACCGTGGCCGGGCATATTTTTCAAGCTCGCCCGGTGTGGATATGCACTCAGAGTAACATCGCAAGCATATTATTCACCTGAGTACACAACACCAACACAAAAATAAAATTCATATTACTAGAACACATTGGTATTGAAGGAACTAGATACTGTTCCGAAATATCACTTACTCGAACCGTCCTGACCGCGTAGCTCAGTTGGAAGAGCATTGGGCCAGTATTCCAAAGGTCGTAGGTTCGAATCCCACCGTGGCCGGGCATATTTTTCAAGCTCGCCCGGTGTGGATATGCACTCAGAGTAACATCGCAAGCATATAATGCAAATTAGGCAAAGGCATTAATTAAGCATGCAAATAGCTGATTTTTAGGAAAAAATCTAAGTTTGCGTGAATAGTTAAAGAGTTTAAACCACTGAGCTATAATATTACTGGAGGAGGTGCTCCTATCTCTCGTCAGTCAAAAAAGTGTCCGCAAAAACATGGCGGATTTTCACGTTTGCTGACGCCATATGGTTCCTCCGGCTCATGGCATTTACCACTGACCAACCGCGATCCTAAGCATCCAACAAAGACCTTCGCCCCCCTGTTTTTGCACAAATATTTTATGTTTTCAAGACAAAATCATGCCGTTTTTCTCCGCTTGTGGATGCAAAAATTCGCTGTAAAGACTTTAAAAGGAAGAATATTTCTTCTGAAAGGTAAGATTTGTGAAAATTTTAAGTTTTTACCTTTTATTCGACTAATTCTCGATTGGCAAAGTCAGGGGCCGATATGCATATGCGTATAAAATCGAGGTATAAATATGTATTTGTCAAACACTTATATTTTATATTTACACCAATATTTCTGGAGCAGACATAAAAAACGTTCTGCATGGTTATTTATACATTGTGTTCATACATTTTGTTTCTAGTTTCAGGCACCGGCTTTTGTTTTTAGTGCCAGTTTATTAGTTTAAATAGCGGCTCATGTAATCTGTAGTTTGCTTTTGTTTCATAAAGAGCAGTTAGCACTAGATTATATATAGTATAAACAAGCTGTATTGTATCCTTCACAAATATTATAAACTGCTAGTCTTGCTACTTGCTAGGTTTTGTATCAGCATTTACCAATTGGCTGTGTAGTTAGGCTTTTCTTCTGGGGTTGTGCACTACATTTCAGTCAGCATCGAGCTATCATCGAGACATCGACTTGTTCATACCCAAATTTGCATGATTTATACTTATATTATTCTTGCATTGGCATTTATAGTAGCATTACCTTGAATGCTAGTATAGGTCAACCTCTATGCCTCATAAAAATCTCCAAACAAAAAACCTCCTTCACTCAGAAAATACCTCTATCATGGGAGTCTTGATTTATGTTTAGACAAGAAAGCCATATTTATTTAATTACAGTATTTAGGTCCCTTAGAGGTTAACCTATTGAGTCGCATTGCGCCCTACTTTATTTTTTACTCTGTCTGATGGCAGATGATTTTACTTATCAAGTAGAGAGTGCTGGTGCTTAATGGGTTAATAACTAGCCTATGTGTCTAGTTATGAGTCGCATTGCACCCTGATGCGCCCTACTTTATCACTTTACTCTGTCTAACGCCAGATTATTTTACTCTGTCTTAAGGTGGATTTCCAGTCCTCGCACGAAGCTCCTCGCAGCTCGCTGCAAGTGCATGCATGAGCACTTTCATCCAATCACAATGCTAAACAATCTCGTTCCCAGAGTATGCCTGTTCGCGGGTTAGGTAGTGGCCCGCGAACAGGCATACTCTGGGAACGAGATTGAATGCTAAACAGTTAATTTTAATTAGATGCAAGTGCTCGCAGCGAGTTGCGAGGAGCTTCGTGCGAGGACTGGAACCGCCTTAACACCAGATAATTTTACTCATCAATTGGGGAGAGCGATGGCGCTTAATGGGTTAATTCAGATTTATACAAGATTAGTGGTGCACCAGAGCTAACAGTTCCAATCGAGACACAAGTGTAACTTGCAAAGTAGGGGTAGTGGTCTGAGCTAACTGGCCAGAACCTACAGTATGCACCCATTGCAATTAATTTTGAAATGTACATGAAACAGTTTCACACCATAGAATAAAACAATCATAAACAAAGTAACTTTATTTCTCATTTCTATTACAGGCATCAAAGTGATATGATATACAAGAACTGAAGCAAAAATGTTCTTGCTGTAACAGATGTATTGTATCATGATAGTTAACATTGATGTGTATGATGTTATTTGGGTGTAACAATGTGTAGTAATACAGTATCTGTAGTAGTAATCTGTTATTGCTACCAAAAGAAAATTGAAAAGAGATAAACATGCCAAACAGCCAAAGTGATGTTACAGCTCATGGGACTACAAAGTGATAATTATACGAGAATAACTTGATTATACAGTTAGTTGAAACTGATTGGGTCATTCAAGAAAATATCCACACCCCTAATGGAAGAGATGGGAGGTTCAGCTTCCTCCAACTTTTGGACACCCTTAGCTAATACTTTTACTATTATCAGCAGTTGAGTTCTGCCCACTTCAGACAGCACAATTTCTTTCTGTGGAGTTAGTGTTTATCTTTTCTGGAATGACTCATTGGTGTTTGGTAGTTAATAATTATTCATTGAAGAATTTAAATTAAAATAATACAATTTCAACTGCATCATTGTGGTGGTAAATAATTCTGCAATAAACAAGAATAGATTATATAGGTTATTCTAAAAGAGAAAAAGCATGAGAAATCATATCAAGGGAAAAGGAGGAATACAAACGAAATATACTAGGTTTTCAGACGATGCTCGAACTTTGTTGGCAAGTTGAGTGACCCCTTAAAAATACATTGTTTTTTCAGAATTATATTTATCAAGAAACTATTAGAAGTTACAGAAACCACAATCCTATGTGTATGTACACCAAAAGCTAAAAAAATATGAACAAATATAAAGGCCCCAAGCTCTTCAGCTGAAACGTCGAGGTTTATTTGTCTTAGACTTAGCTACAGCAATCTCGTACCCAGAGCAATGCCTGTGCGCGGGCTAGGATGGCATTGGCTCTGGGGAAAATTTAGGGGTTCTTTGTCGGCATGCACGATTCATAAACGTTAACCAATCACAGCACAGGAAAATTTCAATTTCCCCACAGCCAATGCCATCCTAGCCCGTGCACAGGCATTGCTCTTGGTACGAGATTGTAGCTACAGTGGTTGCATCATCTTGCACTAACTAGAACCCCCACACAAGAACTACAATCATAGTAATTCAAAACTCCTTAAGGTACTCTGACAGCAGAATGAGCTTCCTTTAGTACAAAATATAAAATACTATAAATTCTCTTTGTTATTCCCTCAAAATATAGTGGTACTGGTAGCACATTATACTGCACTTTCATGTCATTATAAAATCAGTCCCAGGGTCAAATTAAGATAATTTGATATTTGTAAAATGCCCAGTTTCGTGCCACCTACAGAAAATTATAAATTTTCAAAATAGTATCATGAAATACAAACTGCAGGCTTATTCAAAACATCATAAAATATGCAACAAATAGAGCATGTAAACAATAGATCAAAATACCATTTTGCTCACGATTTAAATGAAACGAAAGTTGATTACTTTGTACAACAAGGCTTTAGAGACCTTTACATGCTTGTGGCTAAAATATAATACATTGTACCACAGTTAAACCCAACAATTTTTGTAGAAAATTTGCTCGAGTGTGTGAAGTTATGAACTGAGAAATATTTTACCTGTAGTTGCGGCTTCAAATATCGTCTTTGCGGATGTATTTCGAGGTTTTCTGTCTTTTGAGGACGAGAATATAATGTGTACGACTTGCACACATTTGAAACAGTGGTCAAAGGTACAAAAAATATGAAAAAATCAAAAACTACGAGAATAATATACTGCAAATACTTCAACAAGCAAAAATATTTTAATAAGAACCAGGGGGGTGTGAAAGTCCTAGCGGGCTCAAAATTGAGCCTGGTCAGTGGTAATTACCATGAGCCGGAGGAACCATATGGCGTCATTCTGGCGTCAGCAAAGGCCGAAATCCGCCATGTTTTTGCGGACACTTTTTGATGCCGAGCACGTCCTCCAGTAATATAGTATAGCTCAGTGGTTTAAACTAAAGCAAATTGTCTTAAATTTTGTACAGTAATTAAAAGCCCAACAAATTTTCCATCTATTAACTCAAAATATGATTAAAGCTTTAAAATTTCGTGCGCAAGCCATTTTTAGTTTGTTGGAAAAGACACACCCCCTGGTTCACTAAATTTGAGTTCCAGATTTTTTTTTCATTATTCTACGTCATAAGTACCCAAGGAAACTATATACATCAAAAACTGGATACTAATATTGAGAGCAAATTCATATCTGTTCACTTTTTTTATACACCCTGTATAAAATATTTGAGTCATTCTAAGAAGAAATTTCATATATCTTTATAGGAAAAACTTTATCTTGATAAGCTTTTTTACTATAGACGTTTAATATGCATGATGTCATTTGGCTCCAAACATTCATCGAATGACATCGTATCTGGAAACTTTGACAGTGTCAGTGAAAAAGTAGGTAAAATGATTTTTTGCTATAACGCTCACTCGTTTGAGCTCTCTGCCTCATGATGCAGCCCGTCAAAATCAAGATATTTAATTTAGTCAAAGTGGAAGCACTGTTTAAAACGTTAATTGTACGTTGCCCTCCCGATCTTTTTATGCTTCCTACACCCTCAATATAACCCACATGCACGGGGTTATTACAGTCGATTTCATATAACCTTTGCCAAAATATTCCGAACTTTGTTCCGAAGTTCAACAGTTCATAATCATATTCAGGTTTGAAAAGTAAGCATTTGATTGGCTTCTTTTAAAGGACCAATCAAAGGCTTTGTTTACAAACCGGCTTAAAAATTTCAGTATGAACTTTAATTTGAACTTCGCAGCGAACTTGCGAAGTCGACTGTAACAATCGCGGTCAGAATCGCCCCGTGATGCTACGCATCTCCCTATAATAGTACAATCAGACTACAGACATGCATATTTCGGCGTTCTACGCCTCATCAGTGCAGCTCAGTGAACTGGTGCAGCTTGGGTACACGTCTAGATACTTGATGGGACTGTCAACTGTTGTTTTAATGCAGTATTTCTTGTGGAATTTACATGTGCTAAGGCAACATGCTGTGCTGAGTGGTTAATATATTACTACCTGAAGAAAACAAGCAGAAACTCGACGTTTCGAGCGAAGGCCCTTCGTCAAGAGTTAGTAGCAGCAAACTAACTCTTGACGAAGGGCCTTCGCTCGAAACGTCGAGTTTCTGCTATTTTTCTTCAGGTAGTAATATAACCACTCAGCACAGCAACTTTACATTGGTACTACCCACACTGGTACAGACAGTTTTAAGGCAACATGTCATGTTTTACCCATAAGCATTTAATTAAGATTTGAATAATTAAAAAATCGAATAATTTGCCCACTTGACAATCGTGATTTGCACTGGGATTTTAGTACCAATTTATAAAAGTTCACGGGACATACGCACCATAATGCATCTCTCTCTATATAACTCTGCGCATGTCTGGATGTGTTGGTCTCATTGTGTTGTACCATGTAACGTCATATTAGGTGCAATATAGAGGGACGAAACAGAGAGACTTAGAGCAAGCCTACCGTTCATCCGATATGCTTTGTAGCTGCAACTATACTGATTTTCGTATAACATATTTTGTTGTGACATACTTTCTTCACGATCCTTTGATTGTTTTTGTTCGCCACGTTTAGTCCGTCATCAAGCTGCGCTTGTGCATGCTCATTTTCTTGGAAAATATGCATTAGGTGATGAGCTGTAATCAAAACAAAAATGTTGAATGCTAATTCACTAAACTAATCTCATTTTTACATAAAATGTTAATCGACGCATTAAAGGTGGATACGTCGCGAAATATTGTACACTGCCAAAAATTTTGAAACATAATAAACATAGCGACTCAAAATATTGGGTGAAATTACTCAAATTTATGAGCAAATTTACTCATTTTTTTTACTAAAGTAAATTTTACTAAAAAAATGAGTAGATTTAAAACTTTACTCAAACAAATTGAGTAATTTGGTCTTTTTAAGTAATTTTACTGAACCTTTTGAGTCACTGTGAGTTTATTATTTTCTGCCACGGAATATATTTGGTTTGATTATCATAGTTTCCTATACTGTAATGTATGTTTTACTCATTTATGTACTATCACGTGTACAACCTCAAAGTTGTAATCACATACCCATGCAAAGGAAGAAATTTCAATGAATAGACATTAGGGCCATTTATACGAGACAAAATAAGACGCGACTTACATAAGACGCGACTTAAATAAGCGGAGTTATCGCATAAATGGTTCTCTAGGGCTTTATTCTTATTTACTTGCTATAGCTATAATGTTGTTTCGGTTGTTTTTTTTTAATATGCAAGGCTAATAATTTTACGTTGTTTCAAGTTTCTGGCATGTGTAGTTAAACTTTTTGTCCAAAATTTCTTATTTAAGACGCGACTTAGATAAGAACAGCTAAAAGGCCTGTTCTTATGTAAGACGCGTCTTATCCAAGACGCGTCTTACATAAGAATTTTGTACCTTTTATACGACAAACTCGCGTCTTATTTAAGTCGCGTCTTATGTAAGTCACGTCTTATTCTGTTCCGTATAAATGGCCCTATTGTTTGATTATATAACTTATTATTATACACTACAGCTTAAAGAGTTCTTCCATTTAAGAAAATAAGAAATTTCATGTCATATGCACTTTAAGGCGATAACATTAATGCAGTTTAAAACCAACTTAAAAAATTATGATATCATATCTCTAAATGTTTAACGCATCGGTAAAAGATAGCTTACGTAATCTGCTCCACTCCCCCCTCTAGTGGGGAAAATCGTTTAGCAGAATAAAATACTTACTAAGACAGGTAAACACTTCACATGTGGCATGACCATTGTTAATTATATGGATCTTTGATACCAGTTTCAGGCTGATGTCCTAAAATAATATAATCAGTACATGCATGGGTTTCTGAAACGTTCTCTGATCGTAAAATTTATTTTAACGAGCTTTCGACTGCCAGTCTGCAGTCTTCGACAGGTAAAGTGATACTAAATATAAAACTATTCTACGGATATAGCTACTAGGACGGTGTTAAAATAAATTTTACGATCAGAGAACGTTTAAGAAACCTTATATGAATCCTGGTCGCGCATATAGCATTTTTAACATGCATAGATATTGAGAAATCATTAGTCATGCATGAGTCACTAAAAATTTGAAGTTACATTTTAGGTAACATTCTCATGTGTTGCGCACGCACATATTTTTCCCTTCATCTTCAGCCTAATCCCAAAATATTTATTAAAAAAACAATTTGAGACAAATTAGAGCCATGTTAATTAATATGCGCTTTAATCTCATTTTATTTGGCTCTGTCAAACAAATTATCTTTCATCTCTAATTAAAATTTAAAATCAATAGGCTGGTAACTAACTAGAAAACCTCACGGTTAATTTAGTTACCAGGCCCAATACCCGTTAAACAGTGTGTTAACTATTTATATTTATTATTCCATTTATTATTTAAGAACTAATTTTTGATAACTGTATTTTTCTCAAAAAGGGCAAAATATATTTATTTATTATTATTTATTTATTATCCCAATCTTGGATTGGACCATGCTTAATTCCCACTTTTTAACTCTCTAAATTTTTCCTTATTGTTCTTTGCCGCGTTTTTATTCCCAAAATTCGTTGTAAGCTGTCATATTTATAAACATAACAAAGTCGGATTTCTACGAGCTGCTGGAAGAATCCCACTATTATGCGACCGTCGGGCAACTGAAAAATTTCAATACGCACGGCCTGCTTGCTAAACAAACTGTTTGAAATAAATGATTGTATGGAAATCTTGTCTCGTATTTACTTTCTTATGAATTTAAAATAGATTTGGACGAGTAAAACGGAGCTTTAACCTTCAGAACAATGTTGATAAACTCAGCTAGAAAAATTACCTGTCATGGCTTGAACTTCTAGCGTTCTATACAAGACGTAAAAATATGCATTTTGCCGTTGTCAACAGAGCTTGGACGACGTCTAAAACCCCTGTTAGACTTTTAATTATTCATTTCTTTTGTACTATAGAATTAATGTTATTGTATTGATAGCCGTCGTCCTGACGTCGCCGTCTTACATTCGTAAACTCCCTAATAGGGAGCTTAAGCATGTAGGACGGAAACAGGACGACGGCAACTAATGTAATGAGTCAATGAAAAGAAAGAAATAATTGAAGTCACGGGGGAGTTTCAGAGGTAGTCGTCGCTCTATTTACAACGGCAAATCACGTATTTTCACGTCTTTTATTCAACGCCTGCATTTCAAGCCGTAACAAGTGCAACTTAAAATTCGGTTCAGTACAACTCTTCCCAAACATAAAGCCAATGTTTTCAACTTCTTATACTGTATTAAGTTCATACGAATTATAATATACGACAAGTTTTCTTTACTATCATTTATTTGAAGGAATTTGTTTCGGCCGTCGTCGTCGTGTTGCCGTCCTACATGCTTAAGCTCCCTATTAAATGTCGAAATGTGGGCGTCGAAACATTAAAGGGTTTTGTAGATGTTAATTTCGAGTGTGAATAATTCTTATACATTTGTTAAACCTAACCAGGAGCAGTTACGAAAAAACTACATATAGTCCCTCTGGCAGGAATTGAACCTGCGGCCCTGCGATTCCAGTGAAGCGCTCTAACCAACTCGAACTATAACCGCAACTTCATGTAATACATAATAAACGGGAAAGCGTTTATTACCGGACTTACCGGCGTATCAAACACCGAAAAGTGTGTGTGAAAAACGAGATGCTAGCCGAGTTTTTTACACACACTTTGACGTGTTTTATACGCCGGTAATAAACAATTTATATTGCTTCTCAAACGAACTTGTTTTTAGCGAGAAATTCAACACGAAAGTTGAGTTAATTTATGGACGTTTATTAGCATCGTATCAAGACAACAATATGGTGGCGATTTCCTTTGTGTTTTGCTCATGAATTATTAATGAGTTTGAGAAGTACAGGGTGTCCCAAAAAACCCGAAAACTATTCAAATCACTTATTGTTAAATTTGAATGCCCTACCAAACAGCTGGTATATATATTTACTAACTTTCACAAAAAGATTGGAAGAACAAAGAGCAAACTAATTACAATTGTGCTGAACATAACTTTGGAAACAAAGCCAACGAGTGAGACGAATAATTTATAAGGAATGATCTCATATACAGTATGCATTGTGTTAAATTATTCCCGGCTTCTCTGTCTTGTTTGAATATTGGAATTTATATTCATAACAGTTTATAGTCACAATATGATTTTCTTTTCATTCAAATTTGGGCGTGGTTGCGTCAGCAACCGCCACTTTTTTGCGAAACAATTTTCTTCCGGGCACACTCCAGTAGTATAATACACAGCTCAGTTATCCTTGTCAATCACCAGTCACTAGTCAGTATCAACAAGTAGTTACATACAAACTTTAATGAAGTTGTGACGATTGCCCACTGTCACTTTCACACTTTTCTTATCACTGGGCGATGTTCACACCCTCCCAACCCCCCAACTGTAAGATGAGGACCAACGAACCCCGAACAAAATCAAGTAGCACACTTACTGAGATTCTGTCATCTTCATCGCCAAGTGCAAGACTAAGGCTTTTCTTCAAGGTACCCCAGTGTTCACTGGTAACAACGTCTGACGGAGGAATCTGAGACAACATCACCAGCGCCTGATATCGTGTCTAAAATAAACAAAGGATTTAAGTACATGAATAAATGCAATCTTTAATCTTTCGAAGCTATAAACGACATGAGCTATGTTCACACTAAAAGGCGTAAGCCTGACCTTGGCTAGTTGGCCAGATTTTTGCTTCACTGATTGGCTGTCTATTGTTGAATCTGCTGGCTAGTTTAATCAGCCAATCAGCGTACAGTAAGTCTAAACACATGGTATACTGGACATTAACGTAGCACGACGCAAATACAGTAATAACACAACAAGAATTATTCCAACACTACAGGGTGTACCGGTATCTCAGTCAGTTAGAGCGCTGCATCAGAATCATAGGGCCACAAGTTCGATTCCTGCCATAGGACCTATAGTTGCATTATTCACAGCTGCTCCTGATTAGGTCTAGAATTGTATATAATCTTCCGCTAAAAACTACCATCTACAAAAATCCTTCAATCCTTTGCAATGTAATGTACACCAAATTATCTAGTACTTTGATAGTTCATAAAAAAACCTTCCAAATTTGAACCCTTTGAATTCAAAATTGCGTTTAAAACCTTACATTTTTGTGCGCAGATCATCCTTAAAGTGGTTTTGCGAAACAGCCCTGCTGCACTCGAAAATTTACTTTTCAGAATAATTTTGTGACAGAGATACCTGACCTAGTATACTAACATAAAGTTGCCACAAATGTTGCGGAATTTTCAGTTTAGTCATGGACATTTTAAAACTGTTATTGTATAGTTTTATACAACCTGTATATGTAACTGAAATATCCACAAACCTCGATTGATTGAGACATATCCAGTTTCTGAACGATGTTCCGTATCTTCTCATGTGGCATAAACATGTAACTCATCTATGGAATGAAACGCAAATAAATTAATTACAAAAAGAATTAGCCCATATATGTTATTCAAAACACTAAAAGAATAAATAGCATTGAAGAGGAAATAAATACTGGAAAAAATTTTGGATCTTGAAATCGCTAAATCATCGACTGACTAGCTGGCATAGTAACCGAGTACATGTACTTACTTTAGGGTAATGTACCTGCCTCGTACCCAGGCGTCTCTTTGTAAAAGAAAACAGCGATGCGCGTATGCCAAGTTTACATGATGTACTGTAGTGACGACAGAAGGGCACCCAGGACGCACCCTTCCCAACAGCCCCTTCGCGCGTCGCATGCCTTCCTGAATACTTCATGTATTATAATTATTTAAAGCGCCTGGGTACGAGGCAGGTAATGTACAATGCTGGCTGGTACTCCATTGATTATTACCGCGTACTTGAGTTGGTACAATTAAGCTTAAAACTCAATGTGTACGTCTTTAAAATGAAGTTCATAAAGTACACTTTTCTCAAAGATATTCATTTAGCAACCTGAAACTACGACTTAGGGCCTGTTTACATGCATGGAGGTAAGGTAATCCTATCACTAGGGGAGCATACACAAATACTATATACGATCGACTCAAACAGTCCTCAGTCTCATCATGTCAAGACATGTTAGAGCCAGTCAGACTTACACATATACCGACTTAATTACGGTTTTGAATACCTTGGACTTTGTATTCAAACCAAAGGTTATATGGTACGAGCGAAAAGTAGTGCACAGATAGCGAACGTTCCACGTACTTACGTGGTGTATACGTAATATTGTTGAATCTATCGCATCCCGTTATTTAATACTCTCTATACATGAATTTCTCTCGGCTAGCTTGGCAGTGAGTTTCATTTACTAGCATCAGCATCCACCATTTTCGTTGATATTTTGACGAATTCAGGAGCACATTTTATATATAGCTCAGTGTAATGCACACATACCTTGCCAGATGACGAAAGTGATGATTCCTCTTCAATAGCGTCGACCGAGAAATATTTCCCGCAATATTCGCTGTACCCATCCGTCCACGTTTGCTGTTTTGAAGACTCATCAAAACTTTGAATCTTGAGTAAGACACAAAAAACACACGCCATATATCAGTCTGAGGCTTGCATCTCGGCCTCCCGAGATCAGTCTGCTATCGCAGACTAGTTTTACAGCTATACCTATTCTGAATCACAAAACATTTGACACAATCTGTGAATTTCATATATGCTCTTCCAAACAGTGAATTACGTTACGCTGATTTCGGAGCCATAAGGCAGATTTGGCCTAATTTACATTTTGTGACAACCTGACAGGGGCAATAATTTGGTAATCGGAAAACCGTATCAAATTTACACACCGGAAAATTCTCATACCAAACATTCCTAATTATTATTATATCATTTTTTTATTATTTCAAAGTATGTACATACCATTTCATTCACAGTAGATTTGATATTTTCCAAAATTGACTGGGATAATGTAGCATATCTAAAATTAGAGTAACGTTATCAACTCTTGACCACGTGAAAAACAGATCTATCCGTAAAAAAATAAAATTGGGAGTGAATTTAGACAGATAACATATAGCAGCACCCTAACAGGAGCTAATTTCGCAGAAGACGTCGGCAATTATTTTGCAGAGGCAAAAGCTAGCTAGTAATTATACTAGCTAGTAATTATACTAGCTAGTAATTAGCAAGTAATTATTACTAGTAATTATACTAGCTAGCTAGTAATTATACTAGCTAGCAAAACTAGCTAGTAATTATACAAGGACTGCATATAGCATTACGTACTTACAAGAAGTACAAAACTGTACTGATTATGTGGTTGGCGTATACCTGCAGTGCATAAATACACTATATGTCCCCCTAGCGGAAAGCACATGCACCAATTAAACCGTGAAAACAAAAAAGGAAATCACAAACTTTAAGATGAAGACATTTAAAAATGATTCACCAACGCGGAGGTGAACAGTACATGGATAGCATGCATATACCATTACAAAACAAAAATGACCAAAAAAAACAAACGAAAATTTTTGTAAAACAATTAGCCATTTCCCAATCGAGCAGAGGACTGGGTCTAGTCGCTTGTTTGGAGGGATCTAGGACGTTTTCCTACATTCCTAAAGTTATTTGTGCAGCCTGAAACGCAACAATTATAATAAGGCATCTTTTAATATATATTTAGCTCGCTCACTAGAACTTGTTGTCCCTCCAAACATCAACTAGACTCAGTCCTCTGCTCGATTGGGAAATGGCTAATTTGTATCTCAGCACCGGCCGTAATAGTTGTAAACAAAACAAGTGTATTTACACGCTTTCGGTAATTTTATCATTTTATTTCATTAGAAATAGTGGCAAAACTTTGTGGCTTTCTTCATGTTTAGCAAAAAAAATTGCTGGTCTGTAACCTGAACGAAACGGGAAGTCATTTTGTTTTTGTCCGGAGGTCAATAGTGCAAGGATATCCGCAGCTGAATAAAAACTCAAATTGCGTCCATCAAACCATCATGTATTTGAAAATGTCCACCTCCAAAGTATATGCTAAAATAAATATACTATAGGCATTAGGCAATGCCAATCGACAATTTGGCGTTAGACTAAATTTTAATCTAAGTAAAGAGAAGGGAATCAAACACCACAGCTAAAAAGAACATAATGAAATTAATAAAATTGCAAAATTTGGTTGCAAAATGATATAATTATGAAGCTTGGAAAATATAGCCTTGTAAAGTTTGCAAATATTGTATAGGTATGTTCGTAATACGTGCGGAAATTGTTACCATTCGGCTCAAAAATGGTAACAATTTCCGTACGTAATACAAAAATAATATGCAAAATATGCAAACTTCGCAAGGCTATATTTTCATTTTACAACATTTTGTAACCAAATTTTCAATTTTACTAATTTTAATAATTTAATAAGTTCTTTATGGGAAATCTTTTTTTACGCTTACTCTTGTGAAGCTAGTAATTCTTCAATAATCAGAGGGATAGCATTGTGACAGTCAACTCCACTCACTGCTCGTTTCTCAATCTCGTCTGCCACCACAGGTAGTAATACTGTGTTGATATGACTTCGTATTTGACGAACAAACTCATATCTGAAAGTGATAATAATTCAATGTATTTAAATGGCAATTGTTCCAAAAGCCAATTCAAGACAGGTTGATTGACTGTGTACTAAGAATATATTAACAGAAACACTATCATTAGTAAAATTGCACACCCATCCTACACCCGATGCAAATAAAACAAAATTGCCTGGCAATGCCTGCTTTTGCAAACATTCCAATCTGGGAAAATATCTTGCCTTGAGGGAGTCCTGAAGGGGAGGACGGAGGGTCTAGCTTTATTTCCCATTTTTTAAATCCTATTTTCCTATTGACCAAATCCCAGTTTGAACTGTAAACCTAAAATAATCATATTCCTGAGCCGGTGTTTCACCTGACAGTGCATGTGTTAACTTTTAAAACCCTGTTTAAAACACCAGTAC